GTATTTACACGTGTGCTTTGTTTATTTCACTTAAGAGTATATCTTCAATATGTATCCATTTTCCTATGAATGAATCTATTTTCTTGTTCTTTATGGCTGAGTAATATTCCATTTTATAGAAAAACCACATCTTCTTTATCCAGTTTCCAACTGATGGGCAAATAGGCTGCTTCTAAGTTTTAGCTATTACAAACTGTGCTGCTATAAACATGGGTGCGCATATTTCTCTGTGATATGATTCTTTTAGTTCTTTTGGAAAGATACCCAGGAGGGGGATGGCTGGGTCAAATGGAAACTCCAGTCCAAGCTCTTTGAGGTACCTCCATATTGATTTCCATAGTGGTTGCACCAGTTTGCACTCCCACCAACAATGGAGAAGGGTTCCTTTCTCCCCACAACCCTGCCCACATTTGTTATTGTGTGATTTCTTTATAGCAGCCATTCTTTGTGGGATAAGGTGGAATCTCAGTGTTGTTTTCATCTGCATCTCTCGAATGATCAGTGATGTGGAACATTTTTTCATATATTTACTTGCTGCTCTTACTTCTTTGTCTGAGAAATGATGTTCATTTCAGATGCCTATTTTTGAATTGGGTCTTTATATTGGGGGGGGGCTGATTGTTTTAAGTTCTCCCCTGCTCCTGGGTAGGAAGAATCAACATAGTGAAAATGGCCACACTACCAAAACTGCTATATACATTCAATGCAATGCCAATTGAAATTCCAACACTATATTTCACAGAACTAGAAAAAAGAATCCAAAAATTCATTTGGAACCATAAGAGACCTAGAATAGCAAAAGCCATCTTAGGCAACAGACACATGGCACCAGGTATTACAATTCCCAATTTGAAACTATGCTACAAAGCCACTGTGATAAAAACAGCATGGTACTGGCAAAGAAACAGGCCTGAGGATCAGTGGAACAGACTGGAAGAAACAAAAATAAACCCAGATGTACTCAGCTACCTCATCTTTGACAAAGTTGCTGACCATCCTCAGTGGAGTAAGATAGCCTCTTTAATAAATGGGGTTGGAAAAACTGGATCTCAACATGCCAAAGATTATAACTGGACCCTTATCCTTCACCATGCACTAAATTAAAATCCAAGTGAATTAAAGATCTAAATATTAAAACAGAAACATTAAACTTGCTGGAAGGTAAGTTAGGCAGAACTCTAGAAGACATTGGCATAGGAAAAGACTTTATGAACAAATCCTCAGTAGCATGGGAACTAGCAGATAGAATCAACAACTGGGATCTCGTCTTATTAAAAAGCTTCTGTACTTCAAAAGCAACCATCAGCAGAACTAAGAGACAACCTACAATGTGGGAAAAAATTGTTAACAGCTGTTCCTCAGACAAAGGACTATTATCTAGAATATTTTTACTTATTTTATCATCTGTTTTTAACCCCCAAAGGCAAGAATTTTGTGCATTTTATCCACTGTGTTACTCCAGCACCTAGAACAGACTCTGGTAAATAATATTTATTTCAAAACTAAGAGACATGAATGCATGAATGTACTTGAACCTGTTTATATAGGTAGGACACTCATATATGTATGTCGCCACTCCTCTATAATCTTTTCCCTGAAACATTATAGAAGTGAAGGCTTCCCCACTTTCAGGCAGGGGAAGGTAGTATAAGTTTGCTAACTCGTATTATCTTTTGTTGCGATAATTTCAGTTTTCATTTGGTCTCCATTCTTGATGTCCAGAAGATTCCATTTTATGGTGACTTTTTTATAGGAAAATAAAATTTCTAAGTCAGAGAGGAAAAAATACCCATCATCTGGCCTATACTAAGCACAGAGACTAATGGAGTCACCTATAGTCAAACCAGGTTTTACAGATGTTTGAATTATTTTCTACTCCACTAGATTTCCAGAATAATAGGATCGAATGAGAACACACTAGGGTCTTGGAAAAATCAACATGTCAATTGACATTTTGGAAGTCTTATTCTGTACAATAAACTAAAAATAAGTAAAGGCATAGGCATATACAGATTAGAAGAAAAATTAAAATTTTCTATGCAAAGACAAAATAGTTTGAATCTATACATATCACAAAAAATGTTTACATTAACAGAAATGGATGATTAAAATTAAAATGTCATCCAGAACAGTACCGAAATTCACATAATATTTAGATCTGTATCTTACAAGATATATGCAAGATCTGTACACTTCTATAACCACTATGCATTCAAGATTTAACAGAATTGAAGACCAAGTGAAAGAATATACCACGTTCATGAATGAGAAGATTCAATGTTGTTGTGATGACATTTTCACCAAATTTATCTATAGGGAATTAAATAAAAACCCCAAGAGAATCCCTTTTAGACATCCTTGAGCTGATTCTCAAATTTTTATGAAAGGCAAAGGAATTAGAAGAGTCAAATACTTTGAGGATGAGAAACCACTTTAAGTTGTAGCACACCCTATGTAGCTTCTAAAATTACTATAGCTAGTTGTAGATAAGCTACACAAAAAATACTATAGCTTCAAAGCAGTGTGATATTGGGAAAAGGACAGACATATATATCAATGAGAAAATAAAGTATCCTTAAATAGACCCACAAGTATATGTTCAATTAATATTTTTAATATATTCCTAAGTGAAATAAATAAGTCACACATGTGTAAATACCAAATAGTTTCTCTGGTGTGAATAAACTGTAACAGTACATAAGATCCTAATGAGATAACTGACATTGTGAAATGGGAAGAAAAGGGCTAAAGGTGTAGGGAAGGTGGGATGGCTGGGAGAAGGGTAATAAGGGAAAAGAAAAAAATGTGAAAAAATGAAAAGATGAAAATAAAGTGTTTGTAAGTGGGGAGGGGAGGAGGGGGTGAAGGGAGGACATGGACAAGGGGAAAAAATGAGAACCAAGACCTGTCATGTAGAGGTACAAGATCACAACAATGAATGTAACTGTACTGTATCCCTAAAATGTACCAATAAACTCAATTTTTAAAATTTAATATTTTTAAATGTGTTTATTATGTATTACTGTAATAAGTAATTAGTCTCAGGATTAGGCAATAGTATTTTAAATTAGGTTTTTATGTTGAAGCAATTGTATTTCACAAACAACTATGAGAAACAATGAAGATATCTCATGTACTCTACCCAAATTTCCCCATGGTGACATCTTACAAACTATAATGAAAAATCATACCTAGAATATGGCATTGATATAGTCAAGATATAGAACATTCCCATCACCACTGGAAGCCTTCATGTTGCTTTTTTTATAGCAACCTCTACTTCTCTTCAGTCCCAATCCCCTTATTAACCTCTGGAACCCACCCATCTGTTTTCTAATTCTACAGTTTTTTAATTTATTGAATGCTGTGCATATATAATTGGTAATGTTTCTCTAAAGAACTAAGACTTGTTATAAAGAACTAAGAGGGGCCGGGGATTTAGCTCAGTGGTTTGGTGGCCTGCCTTGCAAGGGCAAGGACCCGAGTACAATCCCCAGTACCAAAAAAAAAGAACTAAGAGTCACCATGTTATAGCAGCCTTGCCTTCTTACATGTTGTACTAATCATATCTGATTGAATCAGAAATCATCAAACAAAAACTTAAAGTATTTAGAATAAATATTTAGAGTGTTCATTTCATTTCAATGGGAGTCTTAATTGCTCTATTGGCTTTAGAATAATAAGACAAATTAAGTTCGTATTCAGTATTAGATTCATACTGTAAATCTAATAAATACTGATATATCTGACAAATTAAAACATATTGCATTATTGTGTCAAAGTGTAGAAATCACAGAAATATAAAGTGAAGCAAACCTAAAGTCCTCGTTCACATTCATCACAAAACTTTATGCAACACAAATTACTATATATATTGAATATATAGTTTTATTTAGCACTGCATTTAAGTCATATAAACAATGTGTCCTTCAACTAGAAATAGGTAGATTTGATAAACAGTCACCAGAAGAACATACTACCATAAAATCCTACTCTGCTGGAGTCTCATGAAAATAATCTGAAGTTATAGCTAGAGGAAGAAACATCTATGGATTAATTTACATTCCTTACATTTTACATTGTTTCATAAGAAGACTGTCTTTCTCTATTTTGTAATATCTTTGTAAGAGAAGGAAGAATACCCTCTCAATGACCCCCCAAAAATGAATGTCACCTTTTTTCTCCTCCTGCATATTTAAAGAAAAGGACCTGCCACATCAAGGGAGCAAAACAATTAGTATACACAGAGGCTGACCACAGACAAGCCTCTTTTCTCCTTTTCCCAAGTTATCAGTTCTACTAGGCCCTTTATTCAAGTTAAGAAGAAACATCATACCAACAATAAGTAAATAAATAAAAGATAGATAGATAGACAGACAGACAGATAAGCAAGCTATCATAGGTAATACTGGTTAACAATTAATACTGTATAGAAAATAAAATGTCTCACTAAAAAACACTTCTGATTTCCAAAGTTCTAAACCTTTCCACTTTTGACTTATATGTACATACAACCTATAATATCTCCTCTGATTTTTGCCCAAGAATTTTTCTAAAATGTTTGCATTGTTATATAGTTCATTATAATACACCCATATAAAAAACATATACATATATACTGAATTTCCTGAGATTGAAAAGGTCACTTAAATAACCATTAGTTTGAATACCCAAAATAATTGCTGCTGTATAGAATTTAAGAAAAAAAGGAGGAAGCAAAAAATAATTTAAATGAATCCAAGTTTAATTTAAAGCAGTTGCATCTAAAAGAAAGAATGTATAAAGCAGAAATTGCAGGCTCACTAATGAAAATGAAAAATTGGCAATTATAAATACATGCAATTCTACTGATACATTAATTTAAATGTTAAGTATAAGATTAAGTTTACATTATCCAAAATAAGTGTTAATTCTAAAAATAATACTTGCATGCATATAATATTTAACTAAAATTTTCATTGACTTGCAAAGAAATACCATTAATTTATAAAGAGGGTGGTTTTTCCATTCAACTTATAAAGTGCCAATTCCAACAAAACACACCAAAATAACAAACAAATAGGATTCCGTTTAACATTCCATCTTTAAACTCTTCATAATCTTCACTGGAAAACAGATCCAGAGATAGGTTAATCCTAAATAAAAAGTGACAAAATTAAATCATATTAAAAATTAAATTTCATGTCAGTAGCTACAGAAAACTGTAACATTCTAAGATTAAAAAGAGGGGAGGAGGGGGTGAAGGGAGGGCAGGGGTAAGGGGAAAAAATGAGAATCAAGACTTGCTATGTAGAGGTACAAGTTCCCAACAATGAATGTAACTGTACTGTATCCCTAAAAGGTACCAATAAACTCAAAGCTGAAAAAAATAAAAAGACAAGCCTGGACTACACAGTGAGACCCTGTCTCAAAAAGCTAAGTAAATAAATATGCAAGCCAAAGAAAATACAATATAGTACATAATGGAAATGCCAAATAATTACCAAAGTTTATAACTTAAAAAGACCAAAAGGAAAGTTTAATCTTTATATAATAAAAGGAAAAAGTTCTATCACTTTTTCATAGTTGTCTAAAATATATAAATTCAGTCTATTAAAACTTCTGTTGTATCTCATCAGACATTAAAAAACAAAAATCTTAAGATAACAATTAAAGTCATTAGTTCTACTCTTTTATAACATCCATCATAATACATAATACATGGACATTAAACTTAGAAACTTTGCTGAAAATTTGGTATAAAAGCTGCAAAAATATTTTCATAGTTGTCTAAAATATATAAATTCAGTCTATTAAAACTTCTGTTGTATCTCATCAGACATTAAAAAACAAAAATCTTAAGATAACAATTAAAGTCATTAGTTCTACTCTTTTATAACATCCATCATAATACATAATACATGGACATTAAACTTAGAAACTTTGCTGAAAATTTGGTATAAAAGCTGCAAAAATATAGATTTTGTACAGGTGACCATAGAAGTTTCTGATGAACTCAATGTGTAGTTCATATTTTTCCTTCCATTCCAACTCCTGCTAATACCCTCAGTGACTTCAACAGCTTCATTGATAAGAAGCATTTCACAGCACCACATCACAAGCTTTTAACTCCAGTCCACTGCAGCCATTCACAAATGAGCCTATTACTTAGACAATATCATTTACGTTTTATTCTTAGGTACTAGAACTCTTCAAGTGTTCCTGACTGACATATTTTTATCCTTCTACTTTATGTGCCCCTTTGCTCTCACCCAGCAAGGTTTTGTCCTCCTTTGAACCAACAATTCCTTGATTATCTATAAGCATCATCTGCCTCCATCTTCAGCCCCTCAACCATCTCTTTTTATGCCTAATTAAGCCTCTAGAAACCCTGACTCTAAAATTGAAAATTTTTCATCCATGACATTGCCTGACATTCTGCACTTAGTCCTCCCCCTCTCTCTCTCTTCACAATGACATTTTCATCTGCATTTACTGCTAGAACCACAATATAACCTTTATGAAGTACATATCTATCACACCAGCCCCAATACGCTTTAAATTGCTTGCTCAGAATTTTTACCTGGGTCCCTCAACACAATAAAAATAAAACACAATACCTTCATTAAATGAGTTCTTTCTTCTGACTTCCTTATTTCCTCATTCTCAAAACTCAGTACCCTCTTTCTGATCCCAACTTCTAACCTCTCCGCCCCTTCAGTCTTGCTCATTTAAATGCATTTTTTTTCACTTGGACTACTACAGAGTCCAGAGTTTTTCACCTACCAATTTGCCTCCTTTGAAAACCTTCCCATGAATGAGATCAAATTCTTTCTAAAATGCAGATCTGATAGCTCTGTTTTAAAATGTTTTTTATATTGATGAAGAATAAGATATTTGTGTAAACTCTTATTATTTTTCCATGGAGTATTTATTAACCACAAAAGAAAAAATGTAGCTATAAATGGATAACTTCACCAAGAAATCCAAGTTAATCCTACAAGTAAGTAATTGATGAAGATTATTAAATGGCTTCAGATGTGATGCTAATATAATAGCCCAGAAAAAATATATCACAGAAATCAAATAACAGGAAAGTATCAGCACATCCAGAGGGACAGTCTGAAAATCAGCTGGCCCATATTTTTTAAAAATGTCAGTACAATGAAAGCAAAGAAAGGTTAAAGAACTGTTACAGGTTAAAAGAAAACAAAGAAAGACTTGACAAAATACACTATCATGGACTGGACTTGGTATCTGAAAAATTCTCCCATTAAAGACAATATTAGACAAATGAGGGGGATAAAATAAAAAGCAATGATCATGTAACTATTTAAAGTAAAAGGTCAATGTCCCATGTTTCTTCATTGTATCCTGAACAAAGTACAAATCTTTCATCAGTGTTCAACTGAGTCTTTGATATAGTCTCATCATTCTTTTATATCTTTCTTTAATTACTATTTTAAATAATCTTTTATCAAATTGTATTTCATAAACATTGTTAGAATCAAGAAATTTTACTCATCTTCATATCTAAAATGTATTGTGCTCCTCACACTCCCACTTATAAAAGCCTAATTTTTTTTCCAAGATCTATTTTAATTCTCCTATTACTTTTTTTTTTTTTTTGTACCAGGGATCGAACTCAGGTCCTTGCACTTGTGAGGCAGGTGGCAGAGCCACTGAGCTAAATCCCTGGCCCTTCCTGTTACTTTTCAAATTCCAGAAAACTGGACATAATCTCTCCCTAAAAGTTTAATGAAACCAAGTAATTAATAAACCTGGGGCAGAATTGAAAGGAAGTGTGAAAACATGATATACTCTGTTTAAAATATATTAAGGAAAATCAGAAGTCAGGAATAGAATAGACATTAAATCATACATCCAAAAAGATTCAATGAAGCTATAAAATTTAATGAGCTATCTGAGAGAAAATATGTAAAGAAATAATGGGGCCAACAATTACTCCTAGAACAACAAAAAACACACATTAGAAATCACAGAAAATACACTTAGAAAGGCAGAATGAGTGCTTAGTATGTGCCAAACACCAGCATTAAGGAAGAAACTAGCAATGGTTATGCACTAAAAGTTGGAAGGTAGGATATAAAAGGGAAGGGGAAAAATCTAGTTATTATCAAATGGATTCTTACCAGAACATGATAGGAAGATTCATCTTGTACATTTTGAGTCTAGAAACAACATTAAATGCAAGAAAAATTCAAATTTGCCTCTAGCACTGATTTCCTTATTAATAAATGTATATTAAGAAATAAAGTGCTTCTCAGTCTTTTGACAAAGATCAAGTGAAGAAATAAAGTTATAAAAGATTGCAACATAATCATTAGTTTTATTAAAATTTTTCACAATTTAAAACTGTAGTGCAAAATAATGAATTTCAAAAATTCCTTTTTTAGAAAACACATCCTTTTAGAGCTGAGTGTGGTGGCGCATGCCTATAATCCCAGCACTAAGGAGGCTAAGGCAGGATGATTGCTGTGAGTTTGAGACCAGTCTGGGCTACATAATGAGTTTGAGGTTAGTCTCAACTACATAGTGAGACCCTGTCTCAAAAAACCAAAATAAATAAATAAATAAATAAATAAACAAACCATATAATTTTAAATCGTTAAATAATCATTATAAGATTACCTTATGTTTAATAGAAGACCTCTTGCTGAGGTAGAAAAGACCTCATGAAGTTCGAGCTTATATAATTACTGGACTAGCTTTCTGAATAATGTCTACATTTTCTTTGTGAATTGCTCTGCCTATTCAAACATCTGTTTTTTTTAACAAACCTCAAACTATTTCCATTTTTTCTAAAGCCTTCCATTGTCCTTTTTAATTGGATAAGTAGACTACCACATATCTAAACATTGGTTTATGTCATTCCTGCCAACAATTTATGCCATTATTGATGCCATGGTACATGAACATTAATATTTCTACTGTTATATTGTTTAGAAATTGACATTCCATTTTATTTTTCATCTTATTAAAATATTTTTCATAAGTTAAATGCTACAAGTTTAATAATTGTTAAATAGGAACTGTCAAGAGACTGTACTGAGAACCAAGGAGTAGCATGAATATTAGGACATGTGTGTGAAGGAAAAAAATAACTATTTTGATTCATCAATTTATGACATTAAGTTACATTAACTTTATTCAACTTGATATTTTGAGAATCTAAAACTTCCAACTCTTTTAATAAACATAGTAGATTACACTAATTTGCCCTGACAACAATATGAACTCAATATTAATGCAGCATTAGAACATGGTTTAATTCATGAGTTGTTTTTCAGACATGAGATAATGACATCAAGGCCATAACACAAGAGCAGATTCTGTTAAATGCATTAAATTGTACTGGTGCATTCACGTAAAGGAAATTACTAAAGTTATATATAATGTGTAACTTTACATTGCAGTTTAAATGTTTGTCTTCATTCACATCGATGAGTTTTGTGATATGAATTATAAAGTTGGCATTAAAGCTCACATTTAGCCAGGTGTGGTAGTGCATGCCTGTAATCGCAGCACTCAGAGGCTTAGGCAGAAGGATCACTGTGAGCTCAAGTCCAACCTGGGCTACATAGTAAATTTGAGGACAGCCTGAACTACATAGCAAGACCCTGTCTCAAAAAAAACAAAGCTCACATTTAACAGACAAGTGTGTTCACTTTGCTCTATGTTTCATTCACATGCACCATCTACAGTCTACTCCTATCTATATAGTACCAGAGTCTACTCTATGCTCACTGCTTGAAGATGTTTTACACTTTTAATTAAAATGAATAGTGATAATGTGGTAGCCTCATTTCTATAGTTCTGTATATTAAATATGACAATTAGTAAAACGACTAGCATAATGTGATCCAAGGTTAATAGAAGCCAGTCTTCTTTAATACAGTGAAAACTGTGTTAACTTACTTTCGTTAGATGATCTTTGGCATTTAAGCCTAAGTCTATATTTTTCATTTTCTTCAAGCATTCTAGAAATCACTTTGTATACACTATTCCATACTGAAGCCTTAAAAAGATAAGCACAGTTAAGGAATGCGAACCAGAAAAGTAGGAATGCATTTTGATCAATACAATTGGGAGCGATCCAACTTTGTTGCATGTCAATCATTATAGAACAAATAACAGAGAACTAAAATTTAAATGTGATTGTTTCCCCACGATTACTGAACTATCTGATCTCTTTTCTAACTTCCTAGAATTTCCTCCCTGTAGTATTTAAATTAATTGTAGTGGATGAAGCATCTTTCTATGAGTCTATAAATGTCTACCTAAATGGTTCCAATTCGTTCAATTTTCAAAAGTAATAAAAACAGTAAATTTAAATTCCTATGTCTAAACCATTGGGCAGAGATTTTTTTTTTCTTTTCTTTTTTTTTTTTTTTTTTTCCGGCACCGGGGATTGAGCTCGGGTCCTTGCACTTGCAAGGCAGGCCACCGAACCACTGAGCTAAATCCCTGGCCCCTGACTTTATTTTTTAATGTATTTTATTTCAGTTAAGAATTAAAAGATTTCTCCAGAACATACCAAGGCAAAACTACTATAGACTAGAATAGAAAGAATGAACTGCCACTTACCAGTTGCTTGACACTGGATAAGTGTTTAACTTGCACAGAAGAGTATCTTTATACACTGAATTATTAGCAGTAATGAAAAATATATATGTTAAGCACTTACCCTGGCACCTGGAACACAGCAGTTCAAACAAATACTGTCTTTTGCTATTTTCTTCTTAAAATAAAATGATTCTTGGAAGAAATATTTCTTAGTAAGAGATTAGAAATATTCCTAGTGAAATTAGATGCTAACTCATGTGGTCATAGGTGGGGCTTCTTGTGTGATATTGGGATTAAAAATGTGATGCTGGGATTAATGTGTGATGCTGGGATTAAGGAAGGCCCACTCTGAGTGTGAATGGCACCACCCAAAAGGTGGGTGGCCTGGAAGGGATAAAAGGGAAAGGTAGGATGCTGCTGCTGCTGATGATGATGATGTCATTGCTTGCTACTTGCTACCTTCTGCCTGGCCTGCTTATCCATGCACAGTTTTTCCTCCCTGATAACCCTCTGCCATGCAACTCTGCCTTGGAGCCAGCCAACTATGGACTGAAACCTCTACAAACTGTAAGCTTAAATACACTCTTCCTCTTTGAACTTTGGGTTTTGGGTAATTTGTCTCAACAATGAGAAAAATAACTAAAACAAAGTGTTAGTCATGTTTAATGCTATTTTATACTGCGCATGGATTATATATCAAACAAACTCAAAGCTCAGAAACAATACAATTGTATGTGCCATAATCAACTAATAATTCTTTAAACAAAAATGACAAAGAATAGGAGAGCATCTCATCTTGGATATGTTTAAAACATTCAAGTTCCCATGACATCTGGACAACCAATGTTGAGAACAGTTGAAGAATAAAGGTTCATCCTTGTCAGCTTTCCTGCTAAAACTTTAGTATGCATTCATAGTTTTTGAAAAGAGCAATATAGTATGAATACAGATACATTATTCTTATCTATGAAATCTATGATTTTCTTCTTATACTACATTTTCTGAATATGTCATATTCTAGAAACCATAGATTATGCCCTGAAAAATCCCCCAGTGGATTATATCAAAACATATTTTATACCTTCAAATATTAGAAGATCTGTTCTTTTTGGTTAATAAATATTTCCAAGTCCATTTCCATTTCTGACAAATTCTATTATCTCATTTCAGAAAATTAAGTTATTCAAAAGATGCAACCATTTTCACTATCTTGAATATCTTCACTCATTTTATTTAGAGGATTCTCTAAAATTCAAATATTGCTCATTCCCCTTTACAATAACATACCTTTTTTCTTTTTTTCATTATTTTGCAAGCTTTACACAATTGTATGGGAAAGTCAAACACTGTAGCTGCATCCTTCTGGGTTAGATCTACTTTTTAAAAAAAGAGTGAAAAGGTAAGGTATGAAAATAAGTAAATATTTTAAGCAATTCACTATCCTGAGAATAAAGACCACAGAAATGTCTCTTAATCTGTTTGGAGATTTTATAGTTGTTGGTATACTTCTAACCACTAGGTAATGCTACTTTACCATTTAGGTAATTACATGCTGACAACTGTAACTATAAAAACTTGTAAGTAGCAAGAAAAACTTCCATCTAGTTTCAGTCTCCTTTCTTTTCTGATAATGAGGTGAGTCCCAAACGGGTCAAAAAGAATATACAAATACGAAAAACTACATTGCCATATTTTCTCCAATCTCCATTCTCTTCAATTCAGCTCTACATAATATTATGCTTCCAATAACACAAAACAACTTGTGATTCCTCCAATATGTCTTATTCTTACTTTTTCTAGGCTTTGCACATGCTTCTCTATCAAGCTAAAATAGTATATATAAAACACACACACCCCTTCCTGACAAATTTACACTTGTTCTTCTGCACTCAACTCACAAGTCACCTTCTCTCCACAGCTTTTCCTCAAGGATACACAGCCACACATATGGCACTGTTTCCTGTAAATCCTTATCAGAGCATTTAGCATAATTTAACATCATTTTTTATAATGCGTCTCCTCTACAAGGCTCTGAACTGGAGGCAGCAGCCATGTGTGTTTTATTCAGTTTTTTTATCAAGTCATACAGTAGTATAGATAGACCTTTGACTTATGATGAGGTTCTCCATCAACCCATTGTACTTTGTAAACATACTGAGTTTAAAATGAATTATATACATCTAAATTGCCAAACATCATATCTTAGCCCAGCCTTCCTTAAATGTGTTCAGCATGCTTACATTAACACGGCACCTACTTCATAATAAAGTGTTGTCTCATGTATATACAGAGACAATTTGTGTAGACATGATAGAATGGAACAACACAAAATTCAATAAACACTGGCAATGCTGTACAGCATAGAGTATCTGTTGTTCAGCCTTGTGATCATATGGCCCACTGGAGTTGTAGCTCTCTGCTAATACCCAATATCATGAGGAGTACCCTATCACATAACATCAGGATCACCATAATAGTTGAAAAGTTGGCTAGGTTAGTCATAAGTTGGCGGAAGTTTTCTAGAGTAAATAAATTACCTGGCTCCATTCACTAAGCCATACTAAATGTTAAAGCTGTTAAAAGAAAACCTAAGGGAGCTGTGTCCAGAGGCAAAATTATAAAACAGCAAGCATATGCTCCCTGAATGCCTTTATATTTACTTTCCTTTTGTCTCTGATTCATCCTATCTTAACCCTTCCCTCTTCATTCCTGCCCTTCTACTACTCTATAATACTTAGCTTTCTTCTACCTATTTAAGGATTAGATTTCCAAGGAGCATTCTGTGGGATCTTACAAAGCAACATTTACTCAGTTACCACAGGATTTATAGCATTGCTTATCTGATGAACATGTTTATTATTCATGAAAATCCAGTTTCTAATTCTATTGATATTAGGTACACAATACATATTTTATTTTTTAATGAACTAGAATATGCTCTAAAATGGTATTTCAAAATTTGTGAGATGCATGCCACTGATTCTGGGTGGAGCCCAGATACAGCACTACAGCACATTAATTCACCCAGCATGAAGACACATTTTGTAATACCAACTAATTAGAAGGCTGAGACAAAAGAATTGAAAGTTTAAGGCCAGCGTGATCATGATGAGACAGTCATTCTTTTTCCAATCTTTTCCAATCTTCTGATTATATCAAGGAGGAAGTCTGAGTTTGGTACTACTATGTCATTTAGATGTCTCCAAGGCTTGTTCATTTCCCTCTATAACCACAAACAACCTTCAGCAGACAACCTATTTAACTAGAATTTAATAACAGTGTTTTGCCTTTATTAGATTTCTTAAATGAATTTCTATTTATGGAAAACAGTACAAGTTTTCCACTGAGATGATGCAAAGTGTTCTAAAAAGAAATTTAATTGAGAGGGGAAAGTATTTATTTAAATAAATAAATTAAGTAAATAACAGTATAGATGATATGTAGATATGGCATAGAAAAATAACTCAATTTTGGAAAACTTCCCTTCACATTGCCACATTTATCCTTCCTCCAAATGCCTACAAACTTCAGAGCACTATAGTTACATAATTCCCAACTATTTCCTGTTAAGTTGTATCTACACCATACCTTTGCTCCTTAAGACTGGAGTAGAATAATCAACTCTATCTTTAATAAACTGAAAATATTAAATATGTGAGGAAGTACAGAGGGTATGCAAAAGGAAAAATACAAAATTTCTTCCACTTATATTTTGTACTGTACTGAGACTACCCCCAGTATGTACAATGGACTTTATCAGATTTTGCCTAATATTACAAATCTTTCTCTAGTCTTATTCCTATTCATTCTGGCCCAAATTGTGTTTCTAGTTCTTTCCTAATCACTGACCATGATTGATCCATACTTAAAATTTGCTCACATGCTTTTTCCACCTGTCATTTGCTCCTGTCTCAGCACCATGTAAAAATCTCATAAAGCTTCCACCATCAAGAAGCTTTCCTTGATTCTCTCAGCCTCAAATGATTTGCAACGTCCAAGGCATTCATTTGTACAGTGCTCCAATAGCATTTATTATCCTCTATTATTTATGAATCATGAATATATCTCCTGAGGTCTGTAATAACAGGAAGCCAACCTGATTTATTGGTCCTGTTAGGAATGTTAGAAGAGTTGCTTAATCTGTTGGCCTTGGATCTCTAAACTCCAGGGCATCCTAGAAATGCTTACAAGCTTACCTTTCAGAGGTGCACCAGTAACTGATAACTTCACTCCACCATTAAAAAATCTTTAGTGATTATAAAATGACAAGCAACCAATTATCTGATCAAAAACTTATATTTCATTCATTCAATAAATATGTAATACCTGCCTACTATGTGGCTAATGCTAGGCTAATACCTTCTTCCCTTCAAGTTATTTTTGTTTAATGTACTCACATTTACCAGACACTTAATTCTGTGACAAACCCTATGCTAGGCACTCTGTACATATTACTTCAGATAATCTCTCTAAACTTGATTATCAGAGCCCCTCACTCACTACTAACACTCATACCTAATAGTTTATATTCCCATAATTCATTTATACATTTTTTGAGTGCAGAATATTTGCCTGATACATTGTGTCACTAGCACCTGACCTAGTGGCCTGTGTGATATACGTTAAATAAATTTTGTCCTAGAACCTGACCTACTGGCCACAGTGTGGCAGATGTTACATAAATATTGTTGAATGAATAAATAATTCTCCCTTATTCCTTTTTAGAGAACCAGGCATAAGCACTTATTATCTAATTAACCAAAAGAAAAAATGGCTAACTTTGATCAAGACAAAGGAAGAAAGCACATACATACAAAAATAAATGAGGGCATAATAAACATTAAAACATGAAGACACTTCAAAAAGTCATATAATATTGTTTTGCAGACTATTCAAACACTTTAGAAAACCTAGGTGAAACAGATAATTGTTTAAGGAAATACATTTTACCAAAATTGATTCCTTAGAGTTAGAAAGTTTAACCAGACCAATTTCTACTGAAGATACAGAGAAAGTTGTTAAGAAATTTTCCCACAAAAAAAAGCAGTAGCCTTTTGGTTAGGCTTTTGGTGAGAGGTAGGCAAAATAATTTCACAAAAGAATTTTAACAAATCTTCCAGGCCTTGGGAGTCTCAGTGTCCTATAAATTATTCCAGAGCACCAAAAAGGAAGGAAAAAAAAACTCCTAATTTCTTTCATAAAGTAACTACAAATAACTCTGATATCTAAACCAGATAAAGAAATACAAAGGAAAAAAACTACAGATCACTCTCTTTCCTGAATACCAATGCAAAAATTCTAAACAAATGATTAGCAAATAGAGTCCAAGGCTGTATTGAGAAAATAATACAAGAGAAGCAAGTGAGGCTCATTTTATCAATACAAAGTTGAGTTGATATTTCAAAATTTATTTATCATATCACACATTAATAAAACCAAGAAAAATACTACCTCCTGAGATCTCAGAAAGTCTGACAAAATTCAACATCCACTCTGATTTTTTTTTTCTTGGTATGGGGGATTGAACTCAGGATCTTGCACTTGCAAGGCAGCTGGCAGAACCACTGAACTAAATCCCCCACCACACTATAATGTTTAAGACACTTAAGATAACAAAAATTGAAGAATATTTTTAATAGTTTAAATATGTCAGACATGATGGGACATGCCTATAATCTAAGTACTCAGGAGCCTGAAGCAGAAGAGTCTAGGCCAGCCTAAACTACACAGTAAGACCATGTCTCATAAAAAAAATTATATGTGCTTTAACCTTAAAGCCAGTACCTTATTTTATTGAGAAACACTAGAGGCATTCTTTGTAACACAAGCAACAAGACAACGATGCTCACTACGTACTATCTGACCTGTACTTAAGGTAGTAGACAGTGTAATTTAAAAAAGAAAGACCTATTGCAGGCATAAAAATGTTTTAAAAAGAAATCAAATTGTCTTTACATAAACAAATGCCTGGAAAATATATGTACCTTAAAAATGGCAGGAATCAATTATAAAACTTGTTCTAATAACAAAAGAATTTAGTAAATTGATAGGATCTAAAATTAACACACAAAAATCAATGGGGTAAGTGAAAAAAAAGCCAGCCCAAAAGCCTATATTATATAAGATTCCATTTATATACCTGAAACAGAAAATCTATGGAGACAAAGCGGGTAAGTGCTTGTTTCCAGCTGAGTTGGGGGATGGTGAAGGGAGATATAGGAGAATGGCAAGGGACTGCTAATGAATATAGAGTTTTTTTCTGGGATAATGAGAATATTTCAAAATTGATTGTAGTGATGGTAACTATGTAAACTTTCATATGGAAAAACCATTGAGTTTTCCATACAAAAACTATAATGACTCAATGGTGCACGTTAAGTGGATGAATGCACTATGCACCATGACATGTCAATAAAGATACTTTTAAAAATTATCAGTGGAAGTATGGGCCCTCAAAAGAAAAGCAGAAGTTGAGATAATGGAAATGTTTCATACCTTAACTGTGGTGTAATGTGGATTTGTCAAAACTCCTGAAACATACTTAAACTAATCCTCAATGAAGTTGCTTGAAAAGCTTCATACATATAAATATTTAGAGGGCATTATGGAGAACAATACTCTATTTACAACATCAAAAACAGTTTAGGAATAAATTTACCAGTGGGAAACCTATAATGAGGAAAATTTTTAAATTTAAAATATTCATGAAAGATACAAAAGGAAATTGAACAACGAAGACATCCTGTCTTTAGATGATTCCACAGCTTCCAGATGTCATTTCTGCCTTTAAATTAATTTGTAATTTCAATGAACTTCTGTAAGAATACCATGAAGAACACCAGGGCCCCCATCACTCTAGGAGACTGAAGTGACTCATACAATAATCTCTCCTCTCCTGTCTCTGGATTACCTCAACCTGCATCTCTGCATCATCTGCCTTTCTGTAGGTCACCCACTAAAATAAATTAAAAGGCTTCTTCTTCTACCCCAACCTAAGACTGTCACAGACTAATAGGAGTCCTGACTAGCGACCGACTGGCTAGTTTACAGGAGAGCTGGCTGACTGGCTGGATGATAGGAGAGTTGACCCGACCGGACAGGAGGGTTAACTGGCTGCCTGACAGAGGTTGTCTGACTGACAGAAGAGCTGACTCGCTGGCTGCCTACAGGACTCAGCTGACTGGTTGGCGGATAAGAGGGATGCCTGGCTGACTGAGCAGCTGACCAGCCGACCCCGCGAGGCGACTGCCGCGGGCCCAGGGAGCGCAGCGTGGCTGACTGCGAGCTGACCCT